ACACACACACACACACACAAATACATATAAATATAAATATAAATATAAATATAAATATAAATATAAATATAAATATAAATATAAATATAAATATAAATATAAATATAAATATAAATATAAATATAAATATAAAGAGACCAAAGTTCTATAGTTTTTAAAAAGTGAGCTATGCCATAGAGCAAACACTTGAAGCTGTGAGAATGTGGTGTCCCACCCTTAAAGTGAAGGGAGAACCCTAGATTCATAGATGCTCATGGTCAAAAGGAATGGCAAAAGTCAGAGGGTCTACAAAACCTTAGAGAGTTTTATTATTAATTTATACACTTGGCATGGACATTGTTGTTCCAGTCCTTGACCTTCCACTATAAGCACACAGCACTAGGTTTTGGATAAGGAGAGAGAGAGAGAGAGAGAGAGAGAGAGAGAGAGAGAGAGAGAGAGAGATGAATAATAAGCATGAGAGAGAAAGAAAGGAAGAAAGAGAATAAAAGTGATCACCAGTCCTACTCCAGTGTTGATCCATCTGGGGTATCCAGGGTTCTGAGGCACACACACACCCAAGCTCTGTGGGGATATCTTTTTATAAATATGTTGACCCTGTCCTGGAGGTAAACTTCTCACTTTCTATGCAAATTAATAATCATGCACAGTCCTTTCTTGTAGACCTTTCTGGAAACGGGTTGGAAGCTTCAGGGGTCTTTGATGGTTTTGATTCATCCCCCTACAGTGCAGGCCCGCTTCTTAACCTCATTCCTGCACTTGCCCTATACTGAGTTGTGCTTATCTACAGGTGCCAGCACAAGGACATTTGTCCCAGAAAAGCACTGCTCTACCTCCAAATGGCCCCATTCTCCACTCACGTCCTGGTCCTTCTCACAGTGTGTTATTACCAACAAYCCTTGGCTTCTCAGCAGTGCTTAAAACACACACATTTTAGCCTCCTGTCTTTTAGGCTTCTACACAGAACCCAYTCTCAGATTTGGCTACTCATTCTTCTCCTGATGATCTGTAGCAATGTTACAGTCATGTAAATGAACAGTGCTTTGTGAGCCTGCACTTGCAAGAACTCATGAATATATGAACCTCATCCTGCTACATTCATATCAGACTCTGCCCAATGAAAAATTCTACCATATACTGAGGSACCCTTATTTCAAACAGCAACATCTTGCGCACCTAAATGCTCCTCCTAATAAAATTAAAAGCCCAAATCCTTGCAGAGAGTGAAATATTTCCAAAGAAGCTCATGTGCTGTACTCTGATGTTCTGAAACCTACTTTAATATTCTACAGTAAACTTTTTCAAAAGTCTTTACAGCTTCCCCCAGTTCTCCTTTTTGAAGGGTGAAACAACTGAAAAGTTGGTCAGAGTACACTACATTTATGCAGTGGTTAGATTATGTTCTGCTCCTTTGATTTCCTRTAAGTTGCATTTAATGTACTAAATACATCTTGTAAAAGTAAAGAAATTATCACACACACACCAAAAACTATTTAATAACATTTCATCTCTTATTAAGTGTTTCATGGAACATGTGTAACACCTTTAAATATAATACTAAGCATGTCTACATATTTCACAAAAATACAGAAAACACACAGCTAAAATGAAGGAAGGCCAATTTGATAAATGCAGTATTACTAGCATAAGCTAATAGTTATCTCAGCACTTACAAATGAATTGTAATGGAATTGGCCCTTAGCAATTTAACTTTGCAACATCAACTACAGCAGAAGAAATTACAGTTCATTAATTTAYTTTTCTACAGAAGAAAACTAAATTACTGCTCTCTACCTACAAGCCCATTCTGAGATCAATGGTATGAGAAATGGGCAGTTTTTCATCTTTGCACTTTTGTCCTCTGCCWCGAGAGATCACCTTTTAAATCTGAWCTACATGGCAAGGACRCRCCTCTACTTGGACTGCAGCAGCWTTASAGAGGAAAAGGGGGGTAGGGGGAAAGAGATTCTATGTTTCAGAAGCACTCRGACAATGGAAATCCATTTACCATGTGATGTAGGACCAAATTTTCAAAGTTGTGGATGTGTGTAAGAGACCGATGCAGATGTTGCCCCAGCAAGACTTCTCAAAGGCACCAAGGTGAAATAGAAGACAATCCAGAATTCAAAGTTACTTATTGTGGCTATTTGCTGGTAGTACATTGCAGTGAATGCACTAAGAGATTATKGGGATCTGCTAATTGCATAAATGGATTCATTACTGACTGTCYCTTCCATATATCTGTCAGCTTATTGCCCAACAATACAGTACCATTCCTGTTTTCCTGTCCAAATTCYTCAACCAATCCTGCCAAATCTGCTCTCCGTAACTTCACACACTGTGCAAGCACACTTCAAGTTTCTGAATATAGGAATCCAGTGCAGGTATTTCAATTATTTTTAAAATGGCATCACTAAATCCAACATCACATTCACTTGTGCTCCTCACTGAAATGGCTGCAGTGCCATGCAGAGCTGTAAAATACATTAACATTTGGCAGCAGAACCCATGARCCACCTTCCCAGGCTTGACTGCAGCACACTGAAAAAATTCAGTATTTCTTGAAAATGGTACTAAAAGGCTCACCTGTCCGAACAAGTTTCATACTTGCACAGTTCTACATTACTCAATTTTGCAGTAATAATTGAGATAAATAATTACAGTGTCAGAAACTTKATCTTTCCAATTTTCATATTAGAAAAAGTCTGAAAGGATATGAATTATCTTGCTCTTGTCTGCACTGGTCTGATTCCCACTCGCCCCTTCMCCCCCCCCCCCAAAAAAACTCAAACATGTTTATGACCTTTRTATGGATGCTGCTCTTCTGGAAAGTCACATTTCAACAACAGATAAAGAAACTAAGATTGAAGATGATGTTTTGAGAAGACCTCTTCCTCCAGATTAACGGTGGACTGACCTAAGATGCTTTCACTTTTCATTACTGTCCTTATGTCAGCAATAAATGTGCCAAAGTTCACACAAGCCCTCCYTAATCCAATTTAAAATGAGCCAGCTTAAAACAGAGTGAGACAATTAGCCACAAGAACTAATACAGGAAGAATGTATCAGTAATATCTTAAACCACTTCAGCTGTTTTAAAATTGGGTTTGTCTACACCTCTACTCTACTATAGTAGAGATGTGCATCATACTGCCAGAGCACATTTCAGAGGAGGTACTTACATCATTTCAGTTCACATGAGATGCTTCAACAATATCAGTATAGTTAAGATAGTATAAACAAGCAGAGATAAAAATAAGAAAATATTTGAGGCCAAACCCAAGCAGTTTGATAGTTTACACAGTAACTGTGAAAAACAGAACAGTATTCAAAAATCAGAATTAAAAGCAGCCACCACAAACCCACTTTGTTTTTAAAAAATAAGATGTCCAAAGAGTTTATTCAAGGAAGAAAATAAATCTTTCTGATTTCTGTCTCAAGTTTATCTTTTGTCATCTATTGACTAAGGACAGAATACCTGTTCCATTAATTTCTACTTACAGTCCTTACCAAAAAAAAAAAAAAAMAAAAAGAAGGATTTTTGTCCCACACTATTAAAATTCACAAATTCAAGAGCAATAACAGCACAGAGTATGTTTCTCTGTCTTGTTGCTGTTATTAATTAAGTCCCATTTGCTGCTCCTGAATTGCTGTTATTTAGTTGCACTGGATGGGTGTGCAGAAAGTAATGGAAGATGGATTAACAGCTGTAGCTATTATGAAAATTATGGCAGTGCATGAGAGGAATTGCAGCTGCTCATTTCATGCAAATAAGAGCTACTTGACAATGCMTATAATTACACAGCATGTCAAAACAACATAGCTGGAGTGTAAGTAGAGACTACATATTTTAGAAAGCCAAAAGATTTCCATTTCATTATGTTCACATTCCCTAAACTCCTATTTAGAGATAACAAGATCCACTTTCTGTTGACGGGCTCACAGACACAGAAAGGTCTGCTGAGACTCCCAGGTGCATTCTCCTGCCAGCACTGCAGCTGTCAAACACAGAGCATCTCTGCTGTTTCCCAGGCATTTGTAACATAGCCTGGACTCACATCACAGCTGGGGTTTCAGCTCACCATGTGCTGAGTAGATTTGAAGAAAGATCCAGCCACATCTATTTTCAAATCAAAGGAGGATTGMTTCCGAGAGGCTCAGACAATGCAGATACCATCTCTGCTATCCAAAGCCTGTTCCTGATACCTGGAAGGKCACTGTAATATCCTACTTTACTTTTGAGTGTACCTTCCTTCAGCTTGCTTGGGGCAATTCCTTTCTCACTTCAGGCACTAAGGCCCTCTTGAAGAGCACATTTCCTTTTCTTAGATAAAAATTTCACTAAAAGCTCCTCAGTTTCAGAGATGCTGTGCCTATCCTGTTACATGTGCAGGCTGTTTGCACATTAGCAATGTTTTATATAAAGTGTCATTTTATTACTTTAGTTTCTTCCCATTCCTGTTCTGCCTCTTTAATTAAAGCCCTTTGGTTTTCATCAGTTGTTTCATGCTAGCAAATCCCTGCACCTGCATGAAAAGAAAAAAGAGACAAAACCTCATTTGGTTTCCTCTGCACCTCAACCTCTTCTTTCAGCAACTGTGCAGCACAAAATTACATTACAAATAATAAACCCAGAACAAGAAATACAAGACTAATGAAGAGATTTATTCATTTTTACTTATGACATTCACATAGAGACACAGGGAGATGCACAATTTTGCATCCCTCTTACCTCTCACTCAGAGGTGACTTGGACCCACTGTGTAACACGGTTACTGAAGTATCTTACTGCTCTTATTTTACACAGTGATCCAAACTGTATAACCTGACAGAAAACCCAATTTTTTTTTTTCCTATGAGTCTGCTGACAAAATCTAGCTGCAAACACCCTGGAACCTAGTAACAAGACTAGGTTAAAAGCGGTATCTCAGGCTTCCCACATTTCACATGGACAGTCGTTAAATCAGTGGCCCAACATAACAGCTATTTGTTAGTCTTACCTGAAATCACATGCTGTGGTAAGTTCTGCTCCTCCTCCAAAAGCTTTTCCTTGGACTAGTGCAACACTGATCAAAGGCAACCTACACAAGAGACTTTAGTAAGCAAAATTCATGCTTTTAGCCTTACAGAAATTACAATTCAACCAAACCACCTCTAGTAAAAGTTCAGAAAATGTTCTGTTCAAATTCATTGAAATAATGATATCTTTGTGGGCAAGCATTACCAATTCCACTTATGTTAAAATTACTATTGCCTAATTGACACAGAATCCTAAAATGAAACAGTGAGACAGATTTATCAAATGGAACCAAAATAAATATCCTGCTATGAAAAACACCTGCTATAGATTATACTTAAAAAGACTACCTGCAAGTAGTGATAGGATAGCAACACAAGATTCTACTCTAAGCCATTACACCACAGAAAGCAGCAGAAAGAGACACAAAGAACTGAAGGGCTGGGTTATCTAAAATTAATGAGATTTACCATGACAGCTTCAGCAGCTTTTTCAAAGAGAGTGCTACTATCTCAGTCATCAACAAAACTTTTTTTTGCAGACAAAACCTTTTGAGGGAAGCAGCAATCTGTTACCTTTGTTGGTGCTGTATTTAATCATGTTCAAGGTATTTAATCATGTTCAAGGTAATTCAAAGGACAGAGGGAAGGAAGAGTATGCTTTCCTACTGCTGATGTGAAATGAATACTAATGAAAAGTGACTTAGGATAAGGCAAGTTCCCTAAGACATGAAGACAGTTGGTCAGTCACAGAGTTTGCACTCTAATACACCAGTTTCATCTCTTATTATGAAGAGACATTTAACTTACTGAGCAGTTTACAAAAGTTAGCTTCCTAATCATGACCACGTCTGTTTTTAGTTCTACTATAACAGAAGTACCAACACTTTCTTATGGCCCATATTCACTTGCAAGCTGCAGCACATGGCACAAGTGAACCCACTGGAAGAGGGCAATCTMATGTTTCCTGTGGTTTATGAGAAACCAGAAGATATGGGTCCAAGACTACACATCCACAYTCTAATACATTTGAGGTGCCTCTTTCAGGATCACAGTCAGCCTCAGCTCTGAAGCAGACTAATCCCATCTACAACAGATGTCCCCTTAAACATACTCTAAGTCAACACACCTGAGGTGGGGGCTTAATCTTCACACATCTTCCTCCTCTTAGCTTTGCCCCATCAATTTTGATTACATGGAGACAGTTTATGCAAATGGCTTCCAATCCTGAGGATTCCTTACAGTACTATATTATAAGTCTCCAATCTCCTGGGTAATTTTACAGAAAAAAATGTTAATTTGTAACATTTTCTCATATAGATTATTTGAAAACAAAGAATATTTGAAAACAAAGAGCACTTATCTTCAAAGAGCTCTGAGCAGAAAAAGACAGACTCTACCACAAATGGATTTCATAGAAATGTGATTTCTTAAGGGAAGTTAAGTCTAAAGGAAAGGGTGGTTTTTTTTTCAGAAGTACCAGATGGTAGAACTGACTATACTCYTCTTGTGAAGTGGGAAGATTAAATAAATATATCAAACAAACGTTACSTATGTAGGCTGCATAACCCGTTGCTGATTGTTATTTAAGAGCTACTGATTTTCACTGAGTTAGAGAGGTTGAGTTTCAGAAAATTTGAAAGCCTAGATTTCCATAACTCTGAGTATCTCTTAGCACTGCACATATAAGCCTAGGGCTTTTTTTCCTTTCCAATCTCTGAAAAGTCTAATAGTTGCAAAATGTTAAGGTCTAATTGAAATCCATAAATGCCTACCTCATTAACATGCATGAATACAAGGTCTGGGATTCAAAATTACATACTTAAAACTATGTATTTAACTTTCAACATCTTGTTATAGAGTTAGCCAAAATACATTCTGATACTTATAATTACTTCATAAATGGGTAAATAAAATATATTACCTCATAAGTCTGGTTAAGGTGTTTTGCATAAACATGCACATATTCATACCATCCTACAAAGAATAGGAAATTAAAAAACATTAAGTGATCTTAATGTGAAGCAATTAAACACACAGATGGAGTAAACAGGAGTAAGTATCCTTTTTGTTTACTTCATCTGGGGTTTTTCTTTTTGKTTCATGTTGCCCAAATTCCAGCCCAACCCCAATATGCACAAACAGAAAACTTAGTCTAAATCAGGTTAAAAAAACATTCAGAACTCAATTGACCTRTATAAATTTCAGTTATAATTCAATAACTGTTGAAGTAATTGCAATACTGAATTTCTATGTTGTGAAATTTTAGCCTGTCCTCTTAATTTCCTCTTCTCACTTCAAGTTGAACATCCATAAATCTGAGCTTTTAAATTCTGTAGAAAGCTATATCATGCTATATACTTKTTACTGCTACAAATGCATAAAGTTTTAGACAAGATACCACTTACCAATTTAACGATTGTTTGGACCAAAAGAATTTTAGCTAAACCACAAAACACCAAAACAAAYAAACAAACAAACCAGAAAGAAGATTCTTCTTATCTTTCCCATCATTTATGTTTTATATCTCCTTGCAATCAATAGTGAAAAAGATACAATTGCTTCTTTCTAATCCAATACAAGAACTAAAGGGTTCCAAATAAAATAAGTTGCTGTTACATTGAAAACAAATATTTGTTCCTACAATGTGTAGTTAAAATTGTATTCTCGAATCTGCACAAATTCAAGAACAACTACATAAACTCATGACAGAAACAGTGACAAACGGTTATTACATGGAAGGCAACACCTCTAGTTCTAGAAGTCTTAGTCACAAGTTGCTGGATACTAAGAAAATATTGTGAGGCAAAACCATTATCTTTCTCAGCCATCTAGTATTAACCAGGAACTTGACAAATAACTGGGCTAAATGACCCAGTATCACCATGTTCGTATACATACCAAATTGAACCACATACACTACTTATCCCAGATTTAAAAAAAAAAAGAACCAAAAAAAAGTTTGGACACCATAGAAATAAAAATCCAGTAAGTAACAATGTCAGCACATCTTTCAAATAATAAATTAGGAAAAAGAATTCAAACAAACCAAACCCCACATCTCTTTACTGGAATTACACAGTTTTACAGAGGTTGGCAAGTTAGAGAATCTTCCTGAGTTAAAAGCTTCTGACTCATACCTCAGAGAAACAAAAGATAYGCTTTAAGTCTCCAGTACATCTTTGGAATAGAACCTTGAAATAATAGTAGGTCAATTTTAGGTGATTTATTGTCCATTTAGTCATGTATTCCCAAGAGCTACTCTGCCCAAAGCCAACCAGCATTATGATGTTTAGGCATAGATCTCTGGCAGATGTGAGTGCCATGACAATTTCTACACAAGAATCAGTGTATTAAAGGCCTGCTTGAAAATTTTAGCACATATTGATTTATAAAGAGGCTTTTAGTTATCACTGTATCCACCTCCTACATCCACTAAAAACAGTAGCAATATTTCCATTCCAAAYTAAAGAACATTCAAATCCTTCACGATAGCTGCCTTAGCAGCTAAGTTCAAAACCCACACAAACATACAAGGTAATAATTCTCAGTCACACACGTGCACMATTCACATAGCACAACTGTCAGGATGAACTACATGAAAGCTCTTCAGAGAACAACACCACAGCACAATCCTATCCTTGCATTCAAACTGGCCTTCTCAATTCATGACAAAATCCAAAATGGTAATTAAAGATTCCTTTCAGAACAGACCAACTTGAAAAACACAGAGCAGACAAAAAGACAAATCTTCATACTCTCAGGTGGTAGATGGGAAAAATGCCTGCACAGAAAACACTCTTAAAAAAAATCACAATTGCTTCAGTCCTGGCAAATAAATCCTTCAAACCTCCATGACAAGAAAAATAAGGCTACTATTCAGATAAAATACTCTAAGAGAMATTTGCTGCAGTCTAGTGGAATAATTATATTTTCAGCTCTAATACTGTCCTTGAAGTAAGAATAAATCTAAAAAGCAGAAAGTGAGGTAAAATGCACTACATATGGAAGAAAAGGATTAATAGCTTGCAATAGGCCTAGGAGAGGCAGGAAGAAGAAGAAGAAGGGAAGAAGAAAGTCACCTTCAAAAAGTAGAAAACTGTAACACTGGCTCTTATTGCTGCAAGAGCTTTGAATCCATTTTACTACAGATAGAACAATATTTCCAGATCATCTCCAACKGCTCCAAAGTCCTCCCTCCACAGCTTATGCTTGAGAACCTCTGTCCTATGGCTCCTAGATAGGGCCCAAGGAAAGCAAAGTTACCCTTYGTTCTTCTTCCTCTGAGCTGTCGTTTCAAGAGCCATTCTTGCTTTCCAGCTAGCCWGCTTTTCAAGTCTCACTCCAGAATGAGAGTCTCGCTCAAGGGAACCAGGTTTACAAAGATAGAAAGAAAAAGATTTTTGTACTTAAATTCCACTATTCATTTGCCTTCTGTGATTTGGTTATGTAATGTTAGCACKCAGAAAAGACAAACAAGGAGGGGACCTAGGTTTGCTTCAGAGTTAGGAGCTAATGAACATGGGAGAAGGTGGACAAAGAGAGAAGAATCAAGAGGAAGAGGGGGGTGAAGAGCCACTAGAGGGCATGAAAATCATTCAGCAATCTTGGCCATTCCTCTGTCTATTCTGCATCACAGAGAAAGGCAAACTGTTACGAAAATTAKGGAAAATACTGTCTTTCCTCAACCAACTGGTTGAATAAAATAGAAGTGTCTTCTGCAATTACTAAAAGCTATGGGCTAAAGCAGCCTTGAAAAAAAAAATATAAAGGAAAGCTCAGTTGTTTGAGCATAGTGCTAAAAACGTCAAGGTTGTGGGTTCAATTCATTCACTTAGAAGTTGGACTCGAACATCCCTGTAGGTCCCTTCCAACACAGAATATTCTTTGATACTGTGATACTGAGAAACACATACCAGTTCAGGCATGAAGCTATTTACTTTTTTTTTTGCCTTAGAGATGCCCGTGGACAGAAAACTTAATCTGAAAATCTCTCTCATCTGCATCAAGTTAGAGAGGTGAATTTTATAAAACTAAAGAACAGCAAATGCTATTCCATATTCCATTAAAGTTTTATTTAATAAAGGCTATTAAATCCCATCAAACAGATGGTTTAGGAACTATTATAAAGAAACTCTCAGTAAAAGAATAATAGCTTGAACTCTCCAAATGAAATAGAAAAGCAACCATGCTTAACTATTCTTGAAGCATTTCTGGTGAGTCTAAGGCTTTTATTTCAATACTAGGATAAGATCTAGATTCTGTGCAGAGAATTTTCAACAAAGTTAAAACTAACACATATACATTTCATTTTGCCCAGTATATCTGTTATGGAACCTAATCCCTACAAGAGCTCTCTCTGCCACTGCAGTGGCTTCAAGTAATTTGTATAAGCATACAGAGAGCATACTAAATGAATAGAAGCAGAATCACTGAGATTTACTGAATGCAGAACTCTGAAGGAAAACCTAGACTGTAGATAAGAGAAGAAACAGCCTTGCTTGGCTTCAGCTCCTTTTCTGTTGCTATAATGCTAAAAGAAGTTGAGAATTGTGGATTAAAATTTTTTTMATCAATTTAGAAAAAAATCACATATACATCTATATTTTTTAATTACCAATGCTTATCAAATATCTACATGAAAACTTTCCCCAAATTGATTTGTGTCTATAAAGCATGATGCTTCTGTATTAAGAAAAGCATGTCTCCCACAGTGTTCCAGAAAGGAAACAGTGTCCTATACCCTGTGAAAACTGTAYTGTCCTATTTATTTTGTCAAGCCAGAAGTAAAATCTAAGGCATTGTGAGGTTTCTGGTATGTAGTTTCATTAACTATGAAAAGTTAATCATCACTAAAGACAAATATCAGATTAACCAGTTTTCATGTGAAAGTCTATACTGGAAGGGCCAATTAAATGCTTCATTTGCGTGGCTCCATCCTGAAACCTGAAGTGGCCACAAAAAAGCACCAAGATGTCACCTACCACAACTGCAAACCAGCCGTAAGAACAGCACAGGAAGACCCCTTTCCCTGGCAGCCGACTAAGTTCTTTTTTACACATTGCCAAGTCCACATATTAATCCACAGAGAAAATTGTAGCACACGTGAAATTTGTCCAGATGTGTGGCATGAGCAAAAAATTGCCATCAAACCRTAATCTCTTCATAGTTACACACAAGACTCATGTACAGCACAAGAATTGTATCTGTCCTTCCATTTTTTATGCAGGTGCAAGCATAGTTTTGATAAAACAGAAATCTTCCTGTAATACCAGGCATGCTACTTAATTTTTTTTTTACTTTAGAATATAAGAAATTATTACTTTTATCTGCTTCTAAAGGTCAAACTACAGAAGCACAGCTKATTTGACATGTAAATTCACCATACTGCTCTGACAAACTGAATTGACATTTTTAAAAGAAAAGGCTAAAAAGAACATGTAKTGTAGGAATTTAGAGTTATGAATCACTTACAATAACACTTAACTCATCATGGCTTAAARGAGCTGCCAACATTTTTTTCGACCATTAAAGCTCCATTCTGTGACTCGCATGTAAAACTGCAGCAGAAGTGTAGTGCTACAGCTCTGTCTAAAAACAATCTCAGAAAAGTAATTTTGCTCCAAAGACTTAATGTGCATTAATACTTGCCTGGGAGTTAGATATTTCTTTGACAGCATTCAAATCAGATCCTGAGCAAAAGGTATTTCCTGCACCATGGATGATAAGGCCTTTGCCATCCTTCCAGTTTTCTAGTTCAGTTACCCTCTCCTGGAGTTCTACCATCATAGTACCTGACAGAGAAGAAGGAARAAACAAAATTTTTAACAGGCAATTATCACCACCATGGTTTTTGCTACATTTTCCACCAACAAAACCAAGCTCGAATTAGTAAGTGATGAGCTTAAACCCACAAGGGAAAGTACTACCTTAAATCCTGCACAAGATCACTGATACATGTTTGCTCTCCAAGGATGCACTTGCCAAAATTTGGAGGGATATTCACTATGAAGGATATTAGTGTTACACTCAAAAAAGCCCCAATACAACAAACAAACAAAAAACCTCTATCTGACTTATTTCTGTTTGCAATTGCATACATTCAGGACAGCAGAATTTACACGTAYCCATCCAGATCTGTCCAAGTAGTCATTTTGAAGTTACTGACATTTCTCTCTGCCCAAACAATTGGCACAGTATATCATGTCTAAGGCAGGCTCAAGGCACAACCAGTTAATGTTAACATGATCACTTTGAATGCCTCTCCTCTACTCAAAAAAATAATCTTGCATGCTCTCCTAATACGGGGTCATCTGACAATTTCATCTTTTATTTCATCATCCAAGCAAGGAATGAAAATACTGAGCAGAACTAGGCTGGGATGAYATTTTTGTGGATCATCACTTGAAGTGCTTTTCCAGCTTGATGGCRCACTCAACAACTTTTCTGCAAATGCAAGAGTTCTAACAGGTGTGCATTAACCCTGTGGGTTTCATTTACTGTGTATTTGCTGTCTCAAGTTTTCTTAGCAGAAAGGTATTTGGGCTGCCGTCTAAGCTTGGCTAGAGTCAAATACAGCACAACCACTGTCTGTGATTCTTTTAATTGGCAAAGCACTGAGGTATTGAAGAGCCTTTCCACAGAGTATTCCAAGCCAAAAATCCAGTTAACTGGAAAAATGCAGGATCTGTATCAGCCCATTACATGCAATAGCAGGGGACAACAGACACTGGGCAGAGTCTGTCCTATCCTCCTGTGAGAGGATCTTCTCCACTCCTGACAACACTGAACTATTATTTTACCAATAGATATAGTTCATGATGTTTGATAGAATGATGAGGGCATAACACTAAAGCAAATCCTCATTCTGCCAGTCTTGGTCTTTTAGTATTTAATACCACTAAGTTCATKCTCTTTACAGAATTAAATCTACTTRGAATTTGTTWGCATCTTAACTATAATCTGAGAATAAAAACTTTCAAGTAAATTCTAGAAAATAAAAATTATCATAATTATTATTTAATTCCTACAGGCTGCCTTTCTTCTCTTTAAATTATATTCAGCTTTAGTTCAGTAAGAGGTTAGACTGCTGAAATTGATTCTACGAGGCTTAAACTGACATTATTAGCATTTGTTTCCAAAGAGACCATTTCAAACAGGTGGCTATCACATTCCAATTAAGAAGAGAAAAAAAAGCATAACAATCTCCAATAGCAATTTGTTACTTATTGTCCAATAGCAATTTGCCAACAATTTTGTTCCGTTTTTGATTTCATGAGTTGCTCAAGCTTAGGATAAACATAATTTGTATACAACGTTCCCTTGAGATAAAATAACTGCTGTGTAAAATAAGTGCCTGGAAAATAGAATTTCTCTCAACATTTTAATGAAGTTTTACAGCTTTCTAGAGGAAGCGTGCATGGATATATAAATTCACATCTGCCACYATTCAGAAACTCCGAGACACAGAATCAACAGAATTTGATGGGAAGGTGGTTGTATCTAGAGGCTCTGGMTGATTAAGTCAAACCAGGTACCGATGACGCAGTTCAGGGGTAGGGCATCCCATCCTGCTCCTTGAAGGGCATTATTTGATACACAACTGAAGGCAAAGGATTAAGTTTCCCGTAGTTTCTCAGCAACTGCATTTTACAGACAGTAACGTTAAAAATGAAATTAGCATCAGTATAAATTAAGATGTCATACTACTCAGTGCAGTGGCCAAGGGGCCAGCCTGATTTTGCTTCTAGTCTCCCTCCCATAAAAACAAAAACCTCTAGCAGAGGTGTATAGCACAAAGAAGAATCTCTTGAACTAACACAGTAAGATTTTCCAGAGCCATTTTTTGTGGCTATTACCAAAATGGAGTATAGCTCTCTACAGGGCTCTACACATGGCTGTAAAACAGAACTGCCTGATCCCATGGCTCATTTGTTACATGCTAATGAGAATCTGCMACAAAGACAGAGCTATGAATTTCCTCTATGGTTTTTGTAGCTCCTCTTTGCTAGTAGAGCATCTAATTCACATACACTAGTAAGTTATTTTCACAGCACTCTCTGTAATGAGAGAAGAAATTATTTCATAGACAGCTAACTGAGCCAGAGAGAAAATGTCAGCTAATTTTTGGTGCTCAACTCGAGATGTGTGATATGATTCYAGCACATTAACATTATATAGAACACTGTATAGGCAAAGTTGCCTAAATGGCAGCTGCACCTGCTCAGCACTTCCACCAATCACTTCTAAGCCCCGCCTGCCAAGCACATAGAAAACAGAGAATATAGTTGCAAGTTTTTATGAAAGTTTAGTTTAACAATTTGACTTTTATCACTCCTGATCTCCACAGAGCAGAAAAACCCAGTCTGATTTCTCCTTTTGCTATTACATCTCATTTCTCATGCCCCTTTCAACTTCCACAACGAACAAGCAAAGAATACACAGCCTACAAAGTGTATATTGCACAGTTTTGAGTCAAAGCCAGAAACCAATCTGTAGAAAAAGGAGAAACAACAATATAATTACGATTGTATAACAGCATGTATGCTGACAGGGAGGCATTCTGAAGGACAATCCCTATGCTAACATTTTTTAGCTTCAACTTCTTAAGTTAGGTAATGATTTTATACACGAGCTTTTTAAGGGAAACAAAAGAGAATGCAGTTACATCTAGGTGCATTACCACCAATTCTACTGCTCTTTYAGATTCCTTTCAGCTAACAATCACTAGTGGAAAGAGCAGATTGATAYTCTTCATGTGAACAGCCCACTTTGCTAGTGTGTTGCAAAACGTTTGCTCAGAGCAAAGGAACAGTGAGAACTGGGCAGGAAGACAGAACAGCAACAAAGAAATTAGCAAGACGACACAAACGTATCCACCTCAAAATGTTAACAGATAAAGACATTCTTACAGTAAAGGCTTATGCACAGCTCCAGTTCAGGCAGATTCACACTCTGAACTTGTGCCACTCACATCTGAAGAGAATGACATAAATTGGAATAATCTAGATAATTAATTAAGAAGAGACAGCAAATATACTCAACTTGGAGAACAGAAACCTCTCATAATACAAAATTAATAAAATAGGGCACTTGGTTTTGATAGCTAAGTATTCTCCAGTGTAAAAGCATATTAAATAGATCACTGACCTGCAAYAGCTGACAATACTCAGCTCATCTGATCTTTAATTAACCAGTCACTGATATTTAAGACATAAGGCAAATGAAGAATAAATGGAAACCAGTTTGGACAAGGGGAAAAGACCACACTACATTAAGTTTAAGGTACAGGAAAGGCTWTAGATAAAGAACCAAGAATTAAACTTATTCTTTCTTTCTACATCACCTACAAAACAGAGGTGACATCTTCTCATCCCCACAAAAATGTCTTCCATATTTCCAGAGCAGTGGTGACAAAATGACAGGAGATGCAAGGAAGAGCACAGTGGCAGAATTGTGCTAACACTCAAAAAGCATGGGGAGAAGCACATTCTGCAAGACAGTCCCTGTATCATTGACAATTTCTTAGATTCTTATGACACTTACAGCAAAGTTACCATGCAGAACAGCAGACATTTGCTGCACATCTGAATAAAACACATTTATTCTTTTAACTAAGGCATAGTAAAGTGTTTCCCTTTCTTTAAGCAAAATGTCAAAATGGGTAACTGAACAAGAGAAAAAACAAAACCAACCAGCAATCCCATCAACTAATTAATACCTGTAAAGGCATTCATTAGCTTCGGGTTATTCAAAGTAAGTATTCCAATGCCATTTTCTTTGGAAAGGTTGATGGATCCACCAGCAAACTGCTGAAGTTTCTTCTTTATCAAYTCTTCCTCGTAGCCATGAGCACTATTATACAGTGACAACCTTCTCTGTTGTAGTATCATTTTCTTTGTAGTCTGAAGTGCATTCTTCCACAGAGGAAGGGCCATTTCTGGAAATACATGGGGTGAAGGGAAAAAAAGAAATCAGGAAATTTCCTTTGAAATCCACTTTAGTTCTCTGAGAAAGAGGGAAGTTTGGCAGCAGAAACTAATATAAAGGTGATGCAATCATAACAGTCATGAGAAATTAATGCAAACCGTATTTGCAAAATTCTTAGTTTGGATCTACCCCCACAAAGTTAACAGGAGTTTCAYGGAATTATTTCAGTAGTTAAGCCAGATATTAGCACCTTCTAAAATATTTCCTTGTAAAATTGACTAAAAAAGTTATTTGTGTGCAGAACATAAAAGAGGCTCAAGAACTATAGTAAGACTCTTATGTATTTCACAAAACCAATTTACTCCGTATTAGTTTTCCAAACCCTCTCTTACCCTTCCCTGTAAAAAAATACCAAAACCCCCAAACMCCACACCTGTGATGGAGGGAAAATCCTATAAAATCCCACAGCTTTCAAGATCTGGATGTCCTKCWTTTTTATAAGCAACTATTAGAGCAWGATTTTCCTGAGAGAAATACYTGAGRAACATAAAAATTAAGAACTGAAGATCATTCTTCTATCAAATTCTGTTCCCTGTCACCTAATTCCATTAACACAGTTGCCACACTCCATCTGAAAATTAGTCTGCCTAGTCCCTGAATGCTAGAAGCTTTTCCCAGTCATCCCAGTAGCACTTTGAGTTGACCTCATTTGGGCATAGAACCTGTGCAGTACTCCAAAGGATGAGAAGYGTGCTACAGTATTATGCATGGAGCACTACACTTGCCTTTTACACGGGTACATAACACTTGTAAACTATTACCATGTACTAGTATATCCATGGCTTATTCCTCTGCTATTCCCACTCCACAATGTATGACTGTGCATCAGGAAATAAGGAAGTAATTATCAAATATTATTCTTGATCTRTATCTCTGTCTTACTTTATTTACTTTGGAAAAGGTTCTACTGGAGAAAGTGGTTTACAAGTGACCTGAAAGAACTAGGRTAAAGCCTGAACTGGAAAAAGCTGATCTGAAAATAAAGTCATTCTAGAAGTCAATCAGAGTGAGATTCAAAAAAACCCCCACTGGACATGGAAAAATGCTTGCTATTTTGCAATTTGCTAGAGCAGCCCTACCTTTGCCCCAACCCCCTTTTKAATGGGCTTGGCCATTCAGAAGACATAGCAGATGCTCATCTTTTTGATAACTGGAAAAAGAYTTCTGTTTCTTAATCATATTTGGCAGAAACAAGATTCTCTCAAAATTGGCAAGCAGGTCTTGGAAAGTTTTTCTAAGGTGAATCCAGAACACAAACACATGCACTGAGACAGAATTTGGCAACAGGGCATCTTACAGTTTACAGAGTCAACATTTTTGAAAACATTTATTATATACACAGGAACAAGCAAATGCACATTAAAAACCACACTCAATTAGCCTCCAATGAAAAAAAGTGAACAGTCCTGTCAGGYGAACACTTATTTTGTCACGGGCTGTACCATCCTACACTAAACTTGAAAGTTCTTCTGTTGGTCCTCATCCAAATGGAGGAGGCGTCTGCAGAGCAACCACACTATGGGATGTGAAGGAATATGCAGCAATAGCAGGCAACTGTAAAGAGCCATCTATGCCAATAGATTTGTATCAGTCCTGCCAAATCTCACCCACCAATCACCATGATCTCACAAGCTCAACACAAAGAAACTTGTAAGGCCTATACAAATCTGTGCATTATAAGGTCATCTACAGTGGAAAACATAAAGGGATGATTTTTTTAATATCTGCTGACAAACAAGGCTTTAATCCATCTTCATGAACTTTTCCAAAGTGTAAACTAATAAAACTAATTACAAAATTTAATCAAGTTTAAAATCTAATTGAATGCAAGGTTCATTACTTCATAAAAAACATTTCCCAACTGCTGTTGTAYCCAAACATTCTCCATTCTATGCACATTCTAACAGTCTGCAACACTTCAGCCACCAACTTTCAGAGCTTTTAAAATTTTATTTAAAGAGTGAAAATGGGTTTCTAAAGTTCATTTCTCCCCTAATTGATTCTTTTTATATTCAGGCTCTCAAAAAAAAGGCAGCCTTCCCTTTTCTCTAAAACCTCAGTAGTCATTCCTCAGCACATATTAATGCAATAAAACTTTCCATCCAGCTACTAGTTTCTGCTCAGGAAAGAACAAACATCAAATACATAGATAGTGCAGGCTTTCCTTGCAAAGTGTACCTTGAACAATCAGATCCCAATTTTTAATGAATACAAAGCATCCCCAATACTCATAAGAAAACAGACTAGCTGTAATTCTCTAGGAAGCCCCAATCCCTGGCTTGAAAGGAAAGAGGAGAGGGAAAAAAAAGCTTGTTCTGCTAACTTAACCTCTTGCTAACTTAAACTTTTTTGATGACTTTCATACACTGCTAAACTTCTCATAACAAGAAATAYACTGAGAAAAACAGACTTAAGATATGGAAATTTTATTCCTATGAAAAAAAAGTCTGTCATTTTCAACTGYGTGGTTATATGCATTAACAGCTCTTTAATATTATCACTATGGTAATAAAGAACAGCAGCAAATGTGGGATTAGAAAACAAATTGGACACCACTGCCTGCTGATCATGACTCATTATTAATGAGTCATGCAAGGTRTAATCTTTGAATTATTTTCTTTACAATCATCTCCTACAGTACCAGTCAATGGCCAATACTTTTTTTTAATAAAAATAAGATTATTTTAACAGCGCAGTCTGACTGAGCTAACCACTCAAGAAAAGCAGGATATTTAACATAGAACTCTCAGTTTAAAGGGATTTCTGCTGATATCTGACAAACAACATCCAAATTTTCGATCAGGATGGAGCACTCACAATCCACTGCATGACTGAGATTGATCATTTTTGTATTTTGCACAAAAGCAGTGAGAGAGAGATGTTTTGGTAACTGACGATTTTGTAGGACCAGCCAAGAGACATTTACTAACACTAAAATTTTCCAATTTTCACTTTAACATAATCACATCTATTCGTACATACTTACAGAAATTGTCTAATTTTAAAAAGACAACGTGCTATATCCATTAACATCTGTAGCAAAGATAAATTTATGCACAGTCCTACAATGAAAAAAACCTGACAATATAGGAATAACAGTGGTCAGTTAGCATCTTTCATATGTTTTAAGTGCTACAGCTTTACATATCACCAGTGACAACTAAGAGAGAAGTCAACAGTACAGACATCAATAGTTGTTCATTCCACAGTTATTTTATCTCTTATATTAAAAAAACAGTTTAAATCCCATTTGGCATTCAAGTGATTTTGAAACACCCTTGCCTGTGGGRTAGCAGACTGGGTTGATATGAACACATATTGAATGCCAGCACTTCAGTACAAAGGAATGACACACATTATGCAAGAGCAGTACATGTTATCTACATAGAGACACTCACAATCTGTATTTCTGTGTAYGCAGATGTATCACAGGCCTTCCAACAGCCTCTGGTAACTGCCTAGTTAAAATTCTGACCTCACAATGTTAATAAAATACAGTAATAATAGACATAACACCAGCATCAGTACTCCCTAACTGAGTACAATCTTTGTAAATCTTGAGCAAAGGTATTTRCCCTTGCCATTTACCGCTACTCTGYTGCAACTYAAATTTTTCTCRTAACACATGCTGTACCAAACAGCAACCTCTAGCAATTCTTGCAGTTGCAATTGCCATGGAACATAAAGATCTCTGGCAAAAGCAAGGGGTAAGGGCTGTAGGAAGCAACTTTCTAGATGGGTAGAAGAACTAAGATGAAACAGAGAACTGAATCTAGGGAGCTTTATGCTCACACAAGAAACATTGCACTACACAGCAAATTAAAATAAATGAGCAGGGAAAATCCCAGTTCAAAAATAGTGCATGAATTATTGACACAAGTCAGTGAAAAAGAAAATGGGGAAAAGAGATGCAGGAATGTGTCTTCAGTACATCAGGGAAATAAGCATGCCCTTTCATGTARGGCAGGATATGACARGTRCAGATATRGACAGATACTGGGRAAAAAAAMMCAACYCATCAGCTAAATTTCTGGRCTTGGATGAAGGCATACTGAGATTAAGCATAAAAGAAATAAAGGAATTCAACAAACAAAATCCACATAAGAAATCTCAGAAAGGAAAAAATATTCAAAGGGCGTTAAAAAAAACAATTACAAAGGCACTTCTGTGACACTGCCAAAGGCATCAAGGGCACTTGGTCAAGAAGAACAAGAGAACTTAACTTCATCAAGACCTTTGGCAGCTGCAATTTCAGCGACAAGCACAGAAGTGCAAAGACAGGGAAGAAGGGCTAGAAGACGTAAACTGAGGATGATGATGAGATGATTCACAATTCAAGCCTGTGTGGGTGTCTTACCAATCACTTTAGAAGGCATTCATCTGTACTAAGGTGCAGTGACCGTGACTGGCAGATGCTCCTGCASGGCCAATGAACGGAAAGCAAGTGGTGGCCCAGTACTGAGGGCTGGCACAACTGACCCTATAGCAT